CTGGTTTTGTGATCATGGGAAAAATCTGTTTTCATTGGGGTGAAAAAAATACCCAGCTTGAAAGTGTTTACAGCTAAAAAAAACCCAAACAAAACCCAAACAAAAATGAAACAAAACCAAAAGAACCAAATCTGTAAAAGAAGCATAACCTGTTAATAAGGTGACATCTTCCCATCCCTGACCTATCACCTCTCCCAGGATTCCACCTGCTGTATTAGTTACTCCCTTCCTGGGGAGCTTATCCATATTTTTTCCTCAAGAATCCCCCATGTAAGCAGCTTCTTTGTGCCCTTTTTTTTTTTTTCTACCACTGTGGTTACTTTGGGGTGTCTCCCATCATCTCCTGCCCACGTGCTGTGGAGTGACTGGTCCATAAGCCTTTGTGCCATATCCAACCAGGTCCTGGGCACAGGCTCTTTGGTCCTCACCCGTTGTGCTCCACCTCTAGGTGCAGGTTTATCAGGGAATCATTAGGGCTGGAAAAGCCCTCTAAGATCATTAAGTTAAATCATTATCCCAGCACTGCCAAGCCCACCATGATGGTTTTGATTCAGGCAACTTTCCACAGCTATGGACCCCAGAATTGGCTCTTTCTAGCCAAAAATCTGCCTTCCAGTGACTCAGTGGCTGCAGGCAAGGGCTTGGATCATCCTGGAGGATTTGTGCATCCCTCACAACCTTCCAGCATCTCTGAGTTGCTTAATGAGCTCAAACAGCTCATCACCTGTCCCCTGGTTCCTGCCCCCGGAGCGCTGTCGGCGTTGGGAAAGGGCCCACAATCAGCTCTGCCCTTTGAGCCTTGGCTGAGCCCTCCTGCCCAGCTCCTGGAAATAACTTCTAGGAAAAGCTTTGCCTTCCAGTTGTTTTTAAAGTTCCACTCGTGATTTAGTAGTTGAGGGGGCATAAAAAAAATTAAAGCTCTTTTTAATAAGCCTTGACCTGGGAGGGACAGAAAATAAATCACAGCGTTCAAAGACATTTTGCTGAAATACCCAGAGAATATAATCATGAGGAATTTATTTGTGTTTTTTAACAACTTTGTGTTTTGTTTTTGGTGTTGGGGCTCTGCAGGGGCATTTTTGGCCGAGTGAACTGTACCACATCACCTCTGTTTGCTCCGAGACTGCAACAGGAAAGCAAAGGTTAAAAACCCACCCTAGGAGGGACCAACTCAACTGCACGGGCCTGAAAACTATTTAAAAAGCGCCAGGGCAAACCACAGGAGTGCTGCTTTGGCCTGGGATGTGTGAATGCCACCAAGGGAGCAATTCCTGGGTGGGTGCCCCTCCATCCAACCTCCACGTGTGACCTGGGAATGCTGAGCCGGCTGCTGTGGGAGGGTGTCCACACCTCAGCTCCGTCCTGCCCTGGCCCTGGGTGCCTGTAAACCCTCTCAGCATCCTGTGGTTCCACCAGGGAAGATGTATCTCACCCCACAGCTGGCATTTTATTTAGCTCCCTTGTCCTGGAATGCCAGTGGCAGCTGTGCACTGACCCGCTGGAGAGCTGTGGGAATGGGTGGAGGAAGCAACCTTGCTGCTCCAGCCAGGACATGCTGGATGTGCAGGAAAAAGGCAAAATGTCAGGATACAATCATTGGGACAGGCTCCCCAGGGCAGTGGGCACAGCCCCAAGGCTGCCAGAGCTCGAGGAGTGTTTGGACAACACTCTCAGGCAAGTGGTGGGATCGCTGGAATTGTCCTGTGCAGGGCCAGGAGTTGGACTCGATGATCCCTGTAGGTCCTTTCCAATTCAGGATATTCTGTGGCTCTGTGATCTCTGTGGTTGAAGCCGTGTTGGGTGCCAGCCCTTGGCTGTGAGGACCCAAATCCTTGCAGCCCTGGGGTGCCAGCCCTGGGCTCCGGGCGGGTTTCACCTCAGGTCTGTGCTCACCTTCTCCAGACTCTTCTCCACGGGGAGGGAAATGGGTGTTGGTGCTGGAGGAGACAAAGAGAAGGATGGGAAAGGTTTTGTAGGGAAGCAGCAGTGGGAGGAGGGAGGGATCGCTGGCAGGGAGTTTGCAAAGGCTCTGGCTCGGGCTGGGTGATGCCCGGGGTCAGGGATGTGGAGAGGGGCTGGTCCCGCCTCGGCAGCGCCTGCCCGGGGACACACAGTCTGTGGCTCCCTCTGCTGAGCCCGGCCCCGAGCTCTGCTCGCCGCAGTGGAGGAACGGGAGCTTTCCTGGGCCTGGAAATGCTTTTTAGGGAGGCCCAGGGATCAACCTGATGCCAGGCCAGTGGCCGGGGGTGGGAGAGGGGCATCCAGCCCCTCCCTTGCATCCTGACACTGCAAACGCTCACCTGTGCTGCCTCTCCACCGGGATGGGGATGGAGCTGGTTTGTCCGAAAGCAGGGGCCACCTGCCAGGATGGATTTATTTTTAATTATTATCGTTATTTAAAGTTGGCCAAAAATCTATTTTCTGTAGAAAAGCGGGAATTTTGGCTGAGCCTGGGCAATGTCTCCTCTGATCAGGCTTGGTCAGCAGGGTGTTTTCTTAGAGAAAAGAGGGAAAATCCTAGAAACACAGACTGGTTTTGGTTGGAGCAGACCTTAAAGATCATCTTATTCCAACCCCTGCCACGGGGATTTCACTATTCCAGGTTGCTCCAAGCCCCATCCAAAGTGGCCTTGAACACTCCCAGGGATGGGGCAGCCACAGCTTCTCTGGGCAACCTGTGCCAGGGCCTCCCCACCCTCATAGCCAAGAATTTCTTCCCAACACCCAACCTAAATCTTTCCTCTTTTAGTTTAAAACCATTCCCCCTGCTGCCATTTGCAGATTCCCAATTAAAAGCAGCTCCCTGGAGTGCTCAGTGTGACCAGTTCACTCCCTGGAAGTGCTGTCACACATTTGCCTTTGGGAGCTGAAACAGCACCAGGTCATGTGCAGGAACAACCAACCCCTCAAAGCCTTGGGATGCACCAGCTGTGGGAATTATCCTCCCTGGAGGCCGTGTGGCATCACTTGCTGCTCACAAGGAGGTGGCAGAGGCCGTGCTGAGTGAAGGGGTCATGCTGCTGGCTCCAAGGAGCACCAATCTGTATATCCTGGGAGTGGATCACTGGCTGGCAGGGATCAGCCCACCGGGATCATCCAGGTTCTCCGGCGCAGTCGTAGCCAAAAGACGTGGGGAATTAATTATTCCTTGAACTTGAGGAGCTCTGCTGGTAAAGCCCTCTCTGTCTTGATTAAAAACTTCCCTGCAGTGGGAAATCCCTGCCTGCTGCTGCTCAGGGATTGTTCCCTGGGATATTCCCCTCGCTGTTAAATAGGAGACACTTGTACCTGCACCGGGAGCCAGGGTCAGGGCCAAAGGAACAGGAGCATCCCTTTGGAGGGCATACCTGGTTGGCTCCCGGGCTGGGGCTGCTTCTCTGTCACCCTTTGGAATAGGTAGACATGGAAAAGATCCTGTTAACAAGACAACCTGGGGTTATCCAGCTTCTGCTGTGATCACCACAACCCAGCAGCTGCTAAAACAGTGGCCACCAGCTCTGACCTTGCTCCAGCTGGACATGGGCTGCAGCCTCTTTGGGGCAGAAAAAGAGGAGTCCACCACCCCTGGGCTGGATGGGGCTCAGGTCTGGTGTAATCTGGGTGCACCAGTTGGGAAAGCCTTTAGTATCCAGAATGGATTCATCCAACAGCTCCTGGCAGCACGGAAATTATTTTTTTTCCTTTAGGTTTTTGTATTTTAAGCCTCTTTCCAGCTCGCCCGCTGGTGAGACTCACAGACTCTCCCTAACCACACGGCTGCCACGGACTTTCCTTGGAGCCTTTTCAGCCTCTCCAGCTCCGGTTTTCCATCCCAGAGGTTTTTTTGCCTTTTCCTTTCCCTTTTCGTTCTCTGTTAGTGCAACAGACCCGCGCTGTGAGACCCAGACGGCGGCACAGGGACCTGGAAAGGCCGACTGTTTATGGAAGGAAATGGTGTTTCTCTGGGATTTAGGTAATGCTTGTCTGAGCTGTGCCGGGAGGCCAATTCCCAGCAGGCACGGGGAGATGTTGTCATTGGGCTGTGGATGTGGGTGCTCTCCTGGACCGGGAAATCCAGGTGGGACCGAACACTGTGAGGAATCTTTCCCTCCTGGGGTGGTCCTGCCTGGGGTGCTCAGGAGCATCCTTAAATAGAAGGTGCTTTAGGACATGGTTTTGAGTGCTTGACCTCACTGACATTTGGGGATCCGACTAGGAGTCTCTTCCCAGGAGGAGCAGCAGATGAAGCCTTCAAACAACCTGAAGAAGCCCCATGTTTCCAAGTTCTGCTCCTCGTGGGGGACGTGAGCCCCCCTGATGCCTGTGGAGGGGCAGTGAGCTGTGTCCAGGACACTCAGGAGGTCTCTGGAGGCCCACAGTGTTGTGGAGGGAAAGGGACACAAGGGTAGGAATGGCCAAGGTGATGACTCAGAGCTTGGACCGGCTGGGAAGAGCCTGCAGAGCTGGGCTTGGTCAGCCTGGAGAAGTGGAGGCTCAGTCTGAGAAAACATGGAAAAAGCAGGGGCAGAAGCCACAGTCCCGCCCTCAGCACCTCCCACGGCCGAGTGTCTGCTCCGAGTGTCCTTCCCCACCCACTCCAGCCCCAGGCAGGTCTGAAACGTGCAGGTTTAAAGCCCAGAACGAACCCAACCTTCAAATCCCACCCCAGATGTCTCCATGCACACGCTGAGGCCGGGCCGGCTCCTCCGTGTGCCTCCGCAGCCTCCGAGCTGCTCCCGCCCCAATCCCTGCCAACTGCAAAGGAAAACCCTGTATCTAACCACCTCCCGGGGCATGGGCATCCCGAAGGGACATGGAAAGAGCTGTGTGAGGAATGCCAGGGATTCGGAAGCCCCGCCATGAGTTTATATATAAAGACACTAAACCCCCCTGTGGAACCGCACGGCTCCTCCCTCTCGCCCACGGGGCTGAGTGTGTATTTAATTCCAATTTTTTATTTTTTTTTTTTGTTAAAAATTCTGCCAAGAGGAGGATAAATAAGGAGGCACCACACCCCAGTGTTACAAAACCTTGTATTAATCATCTCCCTTCACTTTCAATATACCGCGGATATGAAATATAGCCATGGTTCCGAGTTACATGGGAGGAAATGAGTAATAAATACATCGGAGCAAGTGGAAATCACGAGGGTGTTTTCACTGGGAACAACATTGGAAAACTGTACACTTGCAAAGAGACCGGCATATCTCCAAACATTAGTATTTCTTTATATCGGGAAGCTTTTACATGTAACAAACATGCTATTGCCATATATGACCGAAAAAAGGAAAAAAAAAAACAAAACAAAAAAAAAAAGGAAAATTTAAAAAATAGGCATTGCTCGGCAACATTAACTAGGCAAAAATAGTTCTTTTGTGTGCACTAACTTTGTACAGAAAAACCAGGACGAAAGGCATGCATGGACAAGGAAAGGCTGCCCGGGAACGGCATGCAACAGAAGAGAGGTCAAAGCTCTTTAAAGTCAGCTTACAATAGGCATAAATACATCAGGGTTATATATATTAATAAGGGAGGAAGTATTCTGTTTAACATTATTAACATTCCTGTTTTTTTACGTATTTTTCTTTTTTTTTTTTTTTCTTTTTTTCTTCCTATTCCTCCCAGAGGAATACACATTCACCTTTAAGTAAAGATAAAGGAATACAAAAAATAAAACTCACTTTGCAAACTCTGATGACTCGTATAAAATCAACTTTAGTGTTATCGTCGCTGTGTGCAAATTATAGACGTCTGCGGGACCCACTTTCCATCAGGCACATTCCAAAAGCCAAACCTGGGGCGCAGCCACACCCCGACATGGAGAAAGGTGACAACAGAAATCGCTTCCCCTAAGTGCTGACCCGACCCCAGCTCCGCTCGCGGGCGGCAATCACAGTTTTGGATTTTCCTGCCGGATGCTGGCCGGGCTTGACCTCCCCCTTTCCCAACTCCTCCAAGGGTTTTGATGAGCTGAGCGAGCACAGGTAAAGCCCAGCTCCAGCCCAGCCGAGCTCAGGGCTTGTCCCTGGGGAGGGGGACACAGCTGGAAGGGACAGGGGTTGTTTCCCCGCGGGAGCATCCGCCGGACCCAAGGCCACTTGGGTGCTGAGCTGGCCGGGCTCCCCGCGCAGCCGGGGACGGCTCAGGGGAACAGCACCAGGAAAAAGGTCCCCGGCGGTGCTGGGGGGGCCCGGGGCTGGCTCTGGGAGAGCAGCGGGATTGGGGGGGGGGACATTCCCGCCCCACGCCCAGGACCCCGCGGCGGCGACACCTCCGGCGTGGGATGGGACAGTTGCAGCGGGGTGAGCGGGGGGTACAAAAAAGAAAGGCACTGCCGCTTTATTACTGAATATTTGACTTCACAGCCTCGCTCATGCAACTGTTGGGGTTTGTGGTATTTTTTTTTTTTAGTTTTCTTTTTTTTTCTTTTTTTGATTTTTTTCTTTCTATAAATAATTTTTATTTCTTTTCCTCTTAAGCTTCTTCCCCTGGAGCTCTGCTACCCACACTCAGCACGGGCAGCCAGAGCCAGGCAGCACTTCCTGAACGCAACTGAAGCCACTTTCTTTGTTGTTTTTACTTAAAAAAAAAAAAACCAAAACAAGAAACAGCAAACACAACTAAGTCGTTATTAACCTCTACACTGTCAATGGAAAATAAGCTTTTTTTCTTTTGCCTTTTTTTTTTAAACGACAAAAGGAAAAAAAAAACAATTGAATTATTTGGTGGTTGTTAATAACAGACATTATCATGGTTCCCAGCCATAGCAAGTTAATAGGTAATATATCCAAAATAATCTCTCTGAACAATCAGAAAACCTCCGTGTCCATAGTCAGCGAAGGAATAAATAGAATTTCAGCTCTGTAAATACACTGGAGGCTCCCCGAGGGAGGCTCCTGCTACGGCGGTTCCCTTCACACCTCACAAGCTGGGGGTGCTTGGGGGTGACCCAGGTCCCCAGCGCTGACCCCCCACTTCGCCTCCACCTCCTCACACCTCTTCCCAACCTCCCTGGCTTTCAGGTTTTCCCTTCTCCACCCCCCCATCACCCCCGCCTCAATCTCCTGCCTGCTGGGAAGCAGGACACCAAGGAACAGCAAACATAAAACATTGCATTTGGCACTTGGGTTTGTTTTTTTTTTTTTTTAGGAAACAACAACTTAAAAAACACTGCATGGCAAAAGGATTCACACATCTCCTGGGATTCACACATCTCCCAGCCCTGCCAATGCTCCGGCTCCCCCTCAGCCCCCAGCCTGGCTCCCGCCGATCCCAGCACATGATCCTGCCCGTCAGTGCCAATTGGGAATATTGCTGCAGCCCATCACCTCCCTTCATTAACTAATTTCACATTTATTATTATTCCATCGGGACGTGGAGCAGCGCTGCAGGTCTGAGCAGCACCAGGCCAGATTTTCCTCTTTAACACCAAATTTAGCTCCTGTTATAAAAAGCAGCAGCGGGTGAGGAGCAGCCCAGCCGCTGCCGTCCCCATCTCCTGCCTGGCATGTGGTTAATGCCAAGAAAACAGGGCTGTGAAGCTGCATTTTGGTGCCCTTTGGGGCTTGGGTTTTATCTGGGGGATCCTTCATCCCTTGTTGGCCACCCCAGGGCTGGAAGAGCCCATCACGGCTGGATTTTGGCAGGCTGGGCCAGATGTGTGAAGCCAGGATGCAGCAGCTTCCTGGTACCTGCACAGGCAAGGCAAGAGACACTGAAACTCTCCCAGTGTTCCCCAACTCCACCAACATCCCCTGGGACTCTCCTCTGGGCGAGATGCCCCCACTCCATCCATCATCCCGATCCATGCAGGGACACAGGGATGGGCACCCGCCGACCCTCCGCTGCCCTGAGCACAATGCTGCCTCCAAACTGTGGGTCTCTTGGCTAAACCGAAAGGAAATTCTGGGGTTATTTTACTATTTCTGTTCAAATCTGGGCTCGCTGGGCCAGTCCGTGAACGCAGCGGAACTCAAGAGGCGGGACCGCCGGCGGGGCAGGCAAATCCTCCCCAGAGGGCTTTTTGGGCCACACACCCCTGCGTGATGTTCCGTACTCCTTGGTATCCTCATCCAGGACCAGGGTTTGCCCACGGTGCTCCGGTGACCCCTCGTTGTCAGCGCTCTGCTCCGTGTCCCCCCCGACCTCCCCGCGCTGCTCCGTCATCGCCGCTGAGCTTCCGCCACCTTTCCCCCCCCAACCCCGCCCCCAGCATGGATGTAATAAATGACAACACAAATTCCAAGTCTAATGATATGTTCACAAGGACAATCTACACATTCACAAAATTAAAACAGGAGAGAGAGAGAGAGAGAGAGAGAGAGAGAGAGAGAAGGAGAGAGGAGAGGAGAAAGGATGCAAGCTATCGCTGAGGCTCCCTGCAAGCCCCGACCTCGCCGCTGGACCCGCAGCAGTTGTTGTCCCGGCCAGCGTCCCCGTCGCGACGCCTTCTAGATCGTGGAGGTTCTGTCGACACCATCTGCAAGGGAGGGAGAGTTAGGAACAGCTCCAGTGAGCACTGGTACCTCCCCGAGCTGGGGATTTGAGAGATGGACCCCCCCTGGAGTACCCCCAACCCACCACCCCATAGGCGAGGCGGCACGACGGGGGCCACCCCCCTCCCCAAATCTCCCCAAGGGGTGTGGAAGGGTTTTGGGGTGTCACCACTTTGCTGGTTCCTCCGTGTCACCAACTGTCCCCACCCTGCACCAGCCCCCCCGTGTCGCTGTCCCAACACCATTCCAGGCCTGCCACGACCCCTGTTCCAGGAGCAGAGGTGGTTTCTCGGCAGCCCAGACTTGCCACAAGGTGAATGAGGGTCTGGGACCCTCCTAAAGCAGGACAAGTTCCTGTCACCCTGGCCAGGAGTGAGGGGATGGGGATGGAGCCAGTCCCAGGGGCTGCCTTGCCCCCCAGCTCACCCAGCCCTGCAAAACTCGCACCACAGAGGATGCAAAATTTTCCTCCATGAGAAACATGGATGGACAAAAAGCTCCGGGAGTTGTTTCTGTCTCTCCAGAGCCCTTGTTCCCAGCATCCTCTGGCAGCAGGGATGCATCCAGCCACAGCCCAATCCCAGCAGAGAGGGATCCACAACCCACCCCAAAGCCTCACAACCAACCTGCTACCAGCTGCCCCTTCTCCCCACCCCATGGGGCCAGAAATCAGCACCCAACAGTATTTCCAACCCTTCAGCCCCAACCACCCCCCTGTCCCCCATCCCAACCCCCCATCCCTGGGATGGAGAGTGGTGTGGGGCAGCTCCCAGGGTGGCTCTGGAACAGAGCACTCCCTGTTCTGCCCCCCGGGGCACCACGGCCACCTCCCTCCTCGAGACTGAAAACAAAACAGGTTTGTTACACCTTTTTTGTTGTTTTTTTTTTCTCCCCCGAAGGTTTATTTTTTTAAGAGCTATTTATAGCACGACCGGTTTGGAGAGGCTCGGGGAATGCGACCTGCAGAAAATAACTCAGAGGAACAGTACCCTGCAGAGGAACAAGACAGCTAAGCCTCGCCTGGGAACACGCCGGGGAAACGCTTCGGGTGACAGCAGTGTCCTTGTTTTCCCAGCCAGGGATGCTGCCAGGGCCCTGCTGCCTCTCACAGTCCTTGTTCTCGTGTCCCTCTCCCCGGGAAGGGCTGTCACATCCGCAGGGAGCCCGGTGGCACTTGTCCTCCCCGAGGACTCCTGGTGGCACTCGTCCTCTCCCAGGGCTCCGAGTGGCTCTCATCCTCTCCAAGGACTCCTGTCCCCAACCATCCGGTGCAGTCCAGGATTGCCGGGAGCACGACCTGCGCTGGTTGTTCGGGTTATCCCAGGTCTGGGCGATGCTGGTGGCCGTGCTCATCCCGTCTCCGGGCTCATCCCTTGTTGGCGAGGGGCACTGGGAGCTTCTGGTGCTGGTGCTTTGTGCTGCACTGGGCTCTCCATCACGCTGCTGCTGCTGCTGCTGCCTTTTCCATCTTTTCTGCTTGTTTTTCCCCCTGGTCCTCCTCCCTCCCTGTGCCCGTTATCCACTGGCACCCACCAGCGCCCGGCAGGGCTCCCGCACCCCCCAGCCAAACGAGGGATCCGGTGGCAGAAGGGAAAACACTCCAAAGCCTGTGACCCATCCAGCGGCAGGGGCTTTATCGAGAGCTAACGAGAGTAGCGAGCTAACACTAATTATCATTAGCAAGCTGACGAGTGGCTAATTAGCACAGACTCCACTAGTGCTGGTGTGATCCCTGCGTTCGGCTTCACCCCCTGCCCTGGCACTTTGCCGAGGGGAGACAATATCCCTGTCTGAACACCCCCGGGAGCATCCCTGGGAGCATCCCTGCATCCAGCCCCGCCACCATCCCGCCCCCTCACAGCCACAGCCTGTCCCAGCTTTTGGGGGGCGCGGGGCAGGGGCAGGTGCTGGGGGGCTCAGCGGAGGCGGCGTGGACGTGCTGGAAGAGCCCGAGGAGGAGGGAATGCTCACCGCTGAGTGCGTGCTCCGTCATGCTCAGGCACAGGGACTCCAGCCTGTTGTTGATGTCAGGTTCAGTCACCGGCACCTGGAACTCTGCAGGGAGAAAGGGAACAGGAGGCCGTGGTCAGGGACTTGCCTGCCCTGCTCTGTGTGGGTGGGGGAATCACCCAAAAAATGCCCCAGGAGGGTCTGACTGGGCTCCGGCAGCACTTCCATTCCTGGTGCAATCACCTCCAGCAAGAGATGGTCACAAAAATAGTCATCACTTCCCTGTTATCCCAAGGGATAAATCTGGGGAGCCTCAACGGCACTGCAGAAGAAGGGGATGGAAATGAGGGGTTCAGGTGCTGGTTAGAGATGTGGGGGGGAGCTGGGGGAGAGTGGGACCCCCACCCAGGGAAGGTGCAGCCCTGGGGACCTCTCAGGGTTGGATGCTGTCCGTGCAGGCAGGGTTAGTGCTTGGACATGGGATGGCAGCACAGACCGGCTGTCTGGCTTCTCCACGGCCAGCTTGGCTCCCAGGCTTGGCTCCCACAAAAAAGGGGGGATACACATGAACTCTGGTGTGCTGCAATGCCCCATCCTAAACTAAACAGCAGCAAACTTTACCCACCCTGCAGCAAAACCTGCAAATACAGCTTGTGCTACTGCTGGACAGCATGTCCCGCTTTCCACTGGCTCACAGAGACATAGAATGAGATCCAGGAGGGTTGAGGTCCTCCCACAGCCCGGCACAAAGGGGTTTGTGAGCCCAGCACTGAATTATTGCTTATTTTCCTTGCGGCTCATCCGCAGTTTGGCTCCCCGATCCTCCTACGCCCTCATCCACCGCAGGCCGACACGCAGGAGAAACCCATTTATTCTCCTCCAACGCCTGAGAAAAGTGCCCTTGTCCCGGTGTTTAATCAATACCCGGGAACAGCCGCTGTTCCTGCTGCACGGAACATTTGCTGCCCAAATGCTGCAGTTAAACACCGGCGGCGTGTGAGGCGGGGTAGCTGCCAGCCCACACCAGGAGCCTGAGGATGAGGGTGGGCCTACTGGGGGCATGGAACTCCCTGTCCCGTGGGGCAAATTGTTATGGTGTGTTGGTAGGAAAAGGCACACTCAAAAGCTAATGAAGGGATACACAAACAGGCTTCCTCAGGGGCAGGATGCTCCAGGGTCAGGGTCCAAGGTCAGCGGGATCCTCCCTGACTCAGAGGATGCTCCTACATACAGGAGCATTTTGGCAGTGTTTGGGAAGGAAGCACTGACACAGCACCATTTCCCTTCACACGCAGTGTGGAAAGAATTTCCCTTGAGTGCACAAAGGCAGCCCTTCCACACTGGGGCTCCGTGTCCATCCATGAGGAAAAAGTGATGGATGAGCTACTGCCATTCTGCCTGACACGAGCCTTTCAGAAGCAAGGTAGGTAAAGCACCAGCACCACGATTATACAGAGAGTCAACATGGTATACACAGGGTCAAAAATCCCTCCAGTACCGTCTGTGGTTCAATTAACTCAGGAATTCAAAGATATCCCGGTGGGAACACACCGCGGTGGCACAGGCCCTGTGCCTGCACTGAGGGTCACCAGCACAGCTCCTTTCACACCTCCCCTTGTCTCAGTGGGCTGTGGGTAAGTGAAAAAGCAAACCTGGGGCCTACCTGGCTGCTGAAACATCAGCATGGTCTGCGGGGAGGTGTGGACCGGCAGCGAGCGCGTCCTCTGCACCGAGCTGTGGCTCCGGCTGGGCATGCTGTTACTGCCCCCAGGGTTGGCAAACCAGAGGTTCTGTGGGGAGCAAACAAAGTGTGGGATGTGAAACAAAGCCCCTTGTGGCACGGATTTATAACCAACCCCCTTGGGCTCACAGAAGCATAGAAGGGATTGGAAGGGATCGTAAGGATCATCTAGTTACAACTTCCCTGCCATGAGCAGGGACACCTTCCACTAGACCGAGCTGCTCCAAGCCCATCCAACCTGGCCTTGAACATTTCCAGGGATGGGGCAGCCAAAACTTCTCTGGGCAACCTGTGCCAGGGCCTCGCCACCCTCACAGTCTAGAATTCCTTCCCAATATCTCATCTAAATCTCCCCTGTGTCAATTTAAAACCCTTCCCCCCCTTGTCCTTCACGATCTGCCCTTGTCAAAAGTCTCTCTCCCTATTTCTGTAAGCCCCTGTAAGGACTCAGCTCTCCCCCATCCACCTCTTCCTCTGCCTGCCTCTTGCTGGTCCCTCTTCCCCATCCCTCTGCGCCGAGGGGAGCGCAACCCAAACACCTACAAACTGCTCTTAGCTGCTTGAAAAGGTGGGGGGAAAAAAAAAAGAGATCCAGACAAGTTAGAGGAGGAAAATCAAAGGAATCTTGTGGGAAAAGGGACGGAAGGGCTGGAGCTGCCAGGAACATGGACCAACCTGTCTGCCTTGCTTGAGGATGGCGGGGCTGGCGGCGGGGCTGCGCTGGGGGGTGCCCAGCAGCCCAGTGGGGCCCAGCAGCCCCAGCCGGGCCGTGGGGAGGTTGCGGGAGGGGATCTGGAACTGGCGGGGGTTCCTCCGGCCCAGCCCTGCCCCCGCGGATCCGGCTGTCGGGAGGGAGTTCGACTGGCCAAAGCCTCGGCTGCGGAGAGAGAAAGCGCTGGGGGTGAGGCACTGACCCCTGTGAGTCCCCTCTGTGAGGGGACAAGGGGTCTCGACACTCCCACCCCACTGAGGATGGTCCTTCCATCCTGCACGGGCAGCAGGAAGGAGGAAGTCTGGGTGTGCAGCATCCTTTCTTCTTCCCCAGTGCCAGGCACCCTCCTGCCCTTCAGCAGGTCTCAGGTTCACATTTGTTCTCTTTAAAGTTTATTTTACTCCCACAAAATGGGCCTGTTCTTAAACATAAGGTAAAATAAGTATTGTCCCAGGCACCTGGATTCTTTGAGATCTCTTGTGTGTGGATTCTCTAGAGTAATAAAAGCTCAGCTTATGCTGTTGGGTTTTCTTTACTGGGAATGCTTGGACCTTCTCCCCTTCCAGGAGGTTCATTTTTAAAAAGATGGTCCTCTCTGAGACTTCTCAAGTTCTGTAAAATTTGGTTAGATTGACCTAACAAGTCCAAGATTTACCAGGGAGGGCTGAGTGAAAGGTGCTTTCCTGCAGAGGTGGGACTGGCTCTGCACCCACTCCCATTTCCACACTGTAATCCCTTATCCAGCTCCCCGTGGCCAGAGCAAAACCATCCAGACCTAAGACCACAAAGCCCAAACATCCTGAAACACACATCTCAGAATACCAAGCCATTTTTAATTCCAGGAGGGAAGGGTTGCACACACCAGCATCCCTCTCCCCATGGTTTTTGCATTTAAAACCCACAGAATGACACAAAAATAACCAGGTAATCCTTGGAAACAAAAGCAGTGAGGGTGCCCTCAATATTTGGTGTCACCTTGGTGTCCCTGCTCATTCAGCTGGGCAGCAAACAGGTCCATCCAACACCTTTGCTCTTGTCTATTCCACTTCTGATCCTGCCACCAACACTGAAACCACTTGTTTTAATCTATTCCAAGATACTTTTGTTTCATGGAACTGGGGACCACTCCAGTTCTGTGATCCTTCCTTCCCAACTCTTCATCCCAGCTGTCCCACTGATCCCAGTTATCTCCAAAACACTTTCTTTCTGGAGAATAAATCACTTGCACCAGAGTGCAATACACCAGATTTGGCAGAATGAAGCAAAGGGCTGATGTTGTTGCTAAAACTGATCTAAAAATACCTCTTCCTGCCATACCCCAACACTTCCCAGGATCACCTGAAATCCAGCACCCCCTTGGAAGTGAGCAAACACAAGTGTCCCCAACACAGCCCCTTTTTTTGCCACTTTACAGCTTTTTGGGGAACTTCACTGCTGATGCCATCAGCAAAGGGCAGCAGACACAGAGCCCAGCGCTGGGGATACGCTGCACAGCTGGGAAGTGCTGGATTTGGAGCCAGGGAAACCTGGTGGGATCAGTAGGGAAGGCACTGATCCCACACGCAAGTAAAACCCCATTCCCTTCCCAGCCAGCACCTGGGGTCTTATTGCTGAAGCTTTTCCTGCTCTCCTGCCTCCCAAAATACAGTTCTGAATCCATCAGGATCCATCCTTTTCTTTTGGGAGACACTGGGCCCACTTGGAATGCTCTTCCTCTGGCCACTGCATCCATCCTTCCCCTCCCAAAATCCCGCTTACCTCCTCTGCTGCCGATAGCCTGACAGCTCCAGGAGGGATTTCCGAGGGAAAGACCGAAAGAGTTTCTGCACCTGCTGTTTCCATGACAGCAGCCGCTTCTTCTGGATCTCTGTAAACGCCTGTCCCCCAAAAAAGAGAGAGAAAAACAGGAACTGAATGAATATTTTTCTGGACAAAGGGAGGAGGGATGTGCGTGCGGGTAAAGAAGAGCAGTTGGATCTGGCTATCAGTAAGTCCAGAGGGAAACCCTGGTCTCCCTCAAGGATTTACTCATCTCAGGTGGAGAAAATGCTCCAGCAGCATTCCCTGTGTCCCAGAGTGACAGCCTGGCTCTGCCCTGAGGCTGCCAACCCCTTTTGGCAGAGCAGGGGCTTGATGGTGGGTCCCGACGGGTGGTGAAATTTGTCACCTGGACATGGTTCTAGAAACGCTGCCAGGGTGGGAAAAGCTGGGATTTGGAAAGCTGATCTGCCCTGTGGCATCCTGCATCCTATCCTCCTTCTCAGGGCTGGGCAGAGCTTGGCTCTGATCCTGCCACCAGTCTCTGCGGGAGGTGACCCGGGGTGAGCCCTGTCACCCACCCGGGCTCCCTGCAAAGGTCACCCCGGCAGGGGATAGACCTGATCCCAGAGCTCCAGGCAGGAGGTGTGGGTGACAGGGACACCCATGTGGCACCACTGCTAACTTTAGACCCCCAAGGTCTCCATGCTGCCGGCGGAGAGGAGTAGAGGTCTCCGGAGGACAATCTGGAGGCTAATTAGTGCCTGACTTGATTGCTTTGAACTACCCTCTGGAGGAGACGCTCTCTCCCGGTGCTGATTATGCCAGAGCCAAAGCAGAAGGTGGTCCTGGGACACGGGCTGGCACTGGTGGGAAAAGTGCAGGCGCTCTGGGAAAAGCTCCATGTCCTCCTGGCTTTGTTCTCCAGCCCCCACCACCTCTGCTCCCCCAGTGTGTGATCTCCTCACAATCCCTGCCATATGGGCAGGTGAGGGAAGCAGCTTGTTCTTCCAGGTACAGCCAGCATGGGTGGGAAACGCTGTAGGACACCAGGGACACCATCCCGAGCCATCCCCCCGGCCAAGGCACATCTGCTGGGAGCAGGAACAGATGTAAAACCCCTGTTGCAAAACCCCACGTGTTGCAAAACAGGAGGAGGCAACGCCAAGGGATCGCCGGGTCTGTCTGATGGAAACCGCCCGCACGCTCATCCCGGGATTCTTCCTTTCATCCAGCTGCCGACGGGACTGTCACGTGCCAGATGAATTTCCCAGCTCCAGGCCTTGGGAATTAAGCGAGCGTGGGGGGGAAGCAACATTTCCATGCATCACGTCGGAGCTACCGCCCGCTCCAGCCCTGTTCTGTCAGAATTACTATTAATACCCCCCAAAAATATTTGTGTTAGAAACCGAAGGGTTTACATAAACAGACACTTTGGAAACAGTTTCTAAGTGATGGGAACAACAGTCTGAGATGATCCCTCACGACTCACCTCGTGGATTAGACATTTGTCTATGAGCTGTAAATAGGAACTTATATTCTCTTCGTCGGGTCGGGAAACTAAAAGTTGTGTGCAGACTGGAAAAAAGAGAGACAAGAGAAGGGAAATGGGGATGGGGACACCCAGATGGGACCCAGGGTAGTCCAACAAATGCCTTGGACATCCCGTTTCCCTTGTAACCACGGGCAGGCTTTCTCATCAGCGAGAAAAAACGCCCTTCCCCAATTCCTGCCGTGCCATCCTATATTTAGGGCCAGATTTTGTTCTCTGTTATGAAGGTGTAAATCCAGAGTAACACCACTGGAGTCCCCAAAATTAGACCTGAGCAACTCAGGGGCACAGGATTATTCCCTTTTCCTAGGCAAGAGAGCTCTGGTTCCTATGGCTAAAGTCTGCCCCTGCTGCACACGGATTCCCACCTTTCCTGGAGGATTTTAACCTCTTTTGGAACTAGTGCCATAAAAGCAAGTGGGAATGAGCTCACAGAGGAATGAGTTTCTCCTGTCATAACCCCTGGGCAGGGATGCCTTGCAGTCCAGGAAGACACCTCGTCCTGGCAGGGCTTGTGCCACACTTTGGCATTTGTCACGGGAATAAAATGGGGCCAAGAGCCCCATTGTGGGGCTGTGCCTGCAGGGAATCAGCTGGGGACAAACTCTGCACCAGGTTTCTGCATAGAAAACACCTCAGCTATTTTTTTGTCAAAAAAGGTTGGAAATAGGGACAAGGCTCATATTTCTTCATGGCATCCCAAAGAGTTTCTTTCTGATCCCAGTCTTTTGTGGATGAGATCCCCCCTTTCCCACTTCCCCAGGGAGATCTTCCTTCACTCAGCCAGCACTGACACCTCAAGTGCCACTAACAGGGGTTAGGGCATGTCCAAGCTCACACAGATTTGCTCCAAGAGTCCTGTATAAAGCACAGGAGGTCAGTCTCCATCTCACATTGCTTCTGTCACCTCTCAGTGTGTTATTCCTGATGCAAAGATGTGCACCCTGCACCGGCCATGGAATGGCACCGGAGTATTCTGGAAGTCCTGCATCTAGACTGGGGCTTGAAGAGGGGCTTGGACCCACTGACTGGCACTCCAGATGGTTCATGTCCAGCCCATGCACCACTGCTACCTCCCCACAAACAGAGCAAGTCCAAGGGATGCTGATGAAAACACCTCTGGACTGCTGGGATGACCCCAGGGCTCTGAATGGGAAGGGAGAGGATGCCCTCCACCCCTGACCTGAGAGAAAGGATACTATCCACCTTGGACCTGGGGCTGGGAGAGGATGCTACTGGGGCAGGGAGAGGATGCTCTCCATTTCGGACCTTTCTGGGGCAGGCAGCCTGTCCCACCACTGCCCCTCCCCAAAATCACAGCCCACCTCCCCACCCCACACTCTTAGCTCTTACCACAGCACGAAGGGACCTCAAAAAATCCTCACCCCTTGAGACAGGGACTTGCAGGAGCTCAGGGAAAGGCGGTTGCCAGTGCTGCCACCACACACTCCCCACCCCGAAGCAGCCCTCCCCAGCGACAAGTGGCCCCTGACAAGTGGCCCCCGCTCACCTTTCCCCATCACTCGGGTGAACTGTCCAGGCAGGTCACCCTCGGGCAAAGGGGCCCCCCCCGACTCGCCCTCACATCCCGGCAAGTGGTGCTGCTGCATCCCGCCCGCGGCAGAGTCCTTGCAGTCGGAGCCCTGGCCCTCGGAGCCGATCAGGGAGGAGGGGTGGTGCGAGTCCGCATCCCGGCTGTGCTCCTCCGTGCTCGAGTTCTGGGAAGAGTAGGCTTTGATGGGGGTGAGGATCATTTGGTGTAGTTCCTGCAGCGGGACACGCAAGTTGCCACCTTCCAGGATGTCCTGTGGATTCAAGAGAAGAGGGTTTGTCTCTGCAGGGACAACGGGACACCAGCTACAAACCAGACCCTGACTGTGATGCCCCTGAGAATCCCTCCAGGATCCTGCTGCATTCCACAGTCAACAGCCACGTTTAATTGCCCAAGTTTTTCCCTTAGACCAGGAGAGTGTGGAGCTGCTGCAGAGACTGTATCTGATTATCCATGGATGTGTTCAGACCTGAATTCCCAGAGATAAATGTGCCCTGTCAATCGCTGGGACCCAAACCCAGTAACAGTCCTGCTTCAGTGTTTCCAAATTTCCACCAGGAAGATGGCAACTCCAGGAGAGCAACTGAGCCTGGGAGATTTTAATGCCCAGACCAGTGATTATCTTCCTCCTCTCCCTTCCCTTCCTTCAGTTCATTTCAGCTCTATTTCATTGGAACTTCATTTATTAACATGGGCGTGTCTCCAGTTTCCAGCACTGACTTCAAGCCTGGCTTCCCATTAACTGCTCTGCCCCAAAACTGCTTGCCATGGCATCCTCATGCTCTGGGATCATCTCAGAGCCCAGGACCACTCTGGGATGCAGGAGTCAGGAAATCCCTGACCACACTGGGATGGGCTGGGAGAGTGGAGGCAGAAGGGACCAGGAGGGTTTCAAGGGGAGCAGGTGGATTGTGGTTGGACACAGAAGGGGAGACCACGAAGTTGCAGGTGAACTGATATCCCTATAGGAAAAACATCCAGCCTGGAGATCCCGGGGCAGGTCCACCCAGGAGGGAGAGAATTTGGGTGCACCCCAGCCTTGCTCTTGGTGTGGATCAAGAACTCCCTTTCTACTGTCAGATCCTCATCCCACTGATGGGAAACAATTGCATTTTGTTTTTAATGGAGCCTGGAACAGCTCATTGCAGGCTCCTGAACAGTCTGGCTCATGGGACACTGTTTGGAAAGAGGCAGCTCTTGGAGAGAGCCCTGGATGTCCTGAGGGAAGGGACACTAAGTGGGCACATGGGATTTTGGCGTGTAAGCTCCAAAATGGTTGTTCATCCTAATTCCAGCTTGCTCTTGGATGTCTCAGCTCCACTTCTCTCAAAGATATGATGTCAGTCTGCTGGGCACTGTTTTTTGGGAAAAAATCCTGCTCTGCTAACCGGCAGAGAGGGGTGGAGCAGCTCTTTCCAAGAAAGCAGCAATCTTTAGCAGTGAGACACTGCCCAAAAACATCAAGTCCCACACATGCTCTTGTTTAGCAAAAAATTGGATGGGAAGCCTGGAAAACTGGGGACGTCTCCTCCCAGGGAAAGCAGTTCCCAGGCAGCTCTGAGCCCCACAGCCCAAACCCACACCAGGAGGGCCCAAACCTAGTCCCTGCCACTTTTCTCCCGGATTTCACGGCGTGCCGGGTCAGCTGAGCCGGGTTCCAGCTCCCGCACGGCGCCGCTCAATCAATCCCATATTTCAAAACCCCGGCGGAGAAGTTGGGGAAGAGGCTGTGCAATCGCCTGGAAAACAGAGTGCTGCAGCCAGAGGGCTGGCTCTTGGATTTAATAGTCATTATTAATAATGGAGGTAAATATGGCTTTATTAGCTCCTGCCATACTCTGAGTACAAGCCCGTATTATAAATAAATAGTGAAGCAGTGAGCTAAGGAAAACACCAATAAATAGCAACACACCACAGAAGTATTTAAAAGCCCCTAGTGGGAGGCTCTGCGAGTTGCTGTTTGAAGATGGTGCAATTAAATATAATATAATACAGCGATAATAAATAGGGAGAGGTTGGGTGAGCTGCTCTCAGCAAGGCTGTGGTGCTGCTGCTTCCCTACAGCCCTCTCTGCAGGGTTTAAGCTTCTGTGGAGGTGACAAAGAAGTTTCTAGTTGTTCTCCTTGGAAATTCAAGATGTTGTTCGGACACCAATGTGGGTGTATGGTGTTTTATCTGGGGACAGGTTGCCCATATGACATTCCAGGAAAGCTCAGGTCTTTCTGAACATCCTGGAGCTGGCCAGGGCTACAGGGCAAATCCATTCCAGCTCCATGAGTGCCGGAGATGGATTAGGACCCACTCTGCAAAACACAGCTTGGAGGAACAGCTGGTCTAGTGGAAGCTGTCCCTGCCCATGGCAGGGGGTTGGAATGAGATGGTCTTTAAGGTCCCTTCCAACCCAAACCATTCAGTGATTCTGCGAAATAAAACCTGCACCTGGTACAGGAGTGTTTGAGACGTTATTCATATGTGGCCAACCCAACATCAGACTTCCCTGGAGAAGATCCCCACAACACGTGAAACCGAAGAGTGCTTCACCCCAGAATTAACTTCTGGCTTCTTAAAAACACAAGAAATACAAAAATAGTGGTGATTACTTACCCTTTCTAGAGATTTGAGCAGGTTTTGTCTTTCTTTTAGCTTTTGGATACTGATGACTATTTTGTGTCTTGCGCCTTTGGTAACGTTCTGTAACAAACAGCACAACACTCGGCATTAACATTCCACAGGACAGTTGGGTCCACCCAAACCCTTCCTCCCCTAAATGAAAAGAGCTGCTAGAAGTTAATCAAATTTCTGAGTGCAGGGATTCGTGGGGGACACAGAAAATCACTCAGGAGACTTGTTGAAGATGGAGATTTCCAGCTAGTCTGTCCCTCCCCGGTACACCTCCCACAGGGAGAGCAAAGGTGCTGCCTGGTCCCCTTCATCCCAAGGATAACGCAGAGGTGAACCTGAAAGGAGGGAGGGTTGGAACCAGATGATCTCTAAGGTCACTTCCAACCCAAACCATTCTGTTATTCTGTGATTCTACGGCATTTTCAAAGGAAATTCACCCCACTGACTTTAAAGCAGTTGGCTACTGCAGATTGCGCCCCTTAAACTCCTGAACTCAATCCCAAGTGGAAAAAGAATCCAAGTGCAGCTCCCAGTGAAGGGACTTCCATGCTGTTCCAGTAAGAACATGCAAGGTCTTTTTCAGGTGCAACGTGGGGGTTCTTTTTCATTCCCAAACCCGAATTTTCCTTTTTTTTTTTCTGTTTGCTTCCCAACCACCCGCGGGCCGAACGCCTTCCGCGGGAAGGCACGCAAAGGAAACCTGGGAGAGTCTTGCCCCCCAGGAGACGTGGGACGTACCTGTGCCTCGAGCTGGCATTCAGTGAGGGCCATCATCTCCTCATAGGTCATCTGGGAGAAGAGGGCGGCGTATTTGTGCAGCCGGAGGCTCTTCAACCAGGCCGGGACATCTGGAGCGCAAAGGAAAGGACAGGAGAGCTCCGCTGAGTTCGTGGCACAACCACGAGCGACAGCACCAACAGTAGGAGGGGCTGTTGTGGTGCCATCCACCACCCCAAAGGGGCTTTGGACACCTCACTGAACTCCATGGACCTTTGGGAGGGACATGGTGATATGGGTATGGATATGGATGGCAGGAAGAACCTGGATGCGGACACAGTGCTGTGGGTATGGATGGCAGGAGGAACCAGCCCTCTGACATCCTCAGAGGTTGGGTTTCTGTGGGCAAGACACTGGGATTTAGCCCGTGGGGAGCCAGCATTGTGTCACTGCATGCCAAGCTCCTCGCTGCCCTTTCTCTGGGAACATGGGAAAGGCCAAAGTTACTGGTGTGGTCGAGCTTAGGAGGAGCAAAGGGATGTTTTGCAGATGGCAGACACTGATTTATGGCGTGAGGGAAGATGGTGCGGGTTGAAAATGGAACTGCTGCTTAAAGAGAAACAAAGGGATGGATTTTGGATGGAAAAATGATGTGCCATCAAAGATGGTCCCACAGCCTGTTTCAAAGGGTGCCTTGGGACCTCAAAACGCACCGACTGAAATGACTTCTTCCTTCCCAGTTGTTACCTGCAGTGTGGCACCCCTGTGCCGGCTGGATGGGTACCCAAAAATACTTTTATCCTCCTGACATCAATGTGGTTTCACAAGGGACCTGGGAGGGGAATCCTTCCTCTGTGACACGCAAAACCCCACCAGACCCCACGATGGGGTGTCCTCCATGGAGAAGGCAATGTGACAGCAAGCAGCTCCTCAGGGGTTTGCAAGTTTGGGGAGGTCTGGGGTCTGAACCTCCCCCAGCTCATGCTCTGCTCCCAGCAGTACCCTTGTCCATAGTCCTTGTCCCCTTCCCCACCTGGGAGCACCATCTCCGGGTGCAGTAACAATGACAAACCAGTGTTTCAGCCCCAAACCCCACACCTTGAATGGAGAGAGCAGGTGGAGGCTCAGGAAACGTCTCTCTTGGGCCTAAATACCAGTTAGCAACACCTCCCCACTCTTTGATTGTTCCTGAGTCCCAAGGCTGCTCCATGGGGTTCATCCATGATCTCTTCCTGAACCAACACCGCGTCACTGGCAGGGACAGGGCAGGATGGACCCTTGGTTTGGTCCCCTGAGGCAATTTGTGCATCTGCCAGAAGTCTCCTGCTGCCTGGGCTGAGCCCAAACCCCACTCCCATCCAAGCAGAGGACGCAAAAGACCCCAAAATGCTGCGTTTTGCTCACACTCTCCATCCCCTGGCACACACAGGATTCATGTGTCAATGAAATTCCTCAAGTGCTGCACAGAAGGAGATCAACCCCACACCAAACACAAGAGTAAGGCAGTTAGTGAGCATGGATGGGCTGAAATTCACTGTTTTCCAAAAGTTCTGACATGCAACGGTCCCAAATTCTGCTACCAGCAGCCTCTTTAATTGATCTCTATTTAAAAAATTGAGAAATTATTAGCAGAAAGCCCCGATTCCAGCACAGGCTCCAATCTCAACTTCATTTTAACACAAAACCACACCATTTTAGTGACAACACATTACAAGTCTCCCTGACCCCGTGTCCCCTGGGGACAGCTGCCTTTCCACACGTCCGTGCCGATGGCAAAGCCCACGGAGGTACTTCCAGAAGAGAGATGCAACTTCATACAGACATTAAACCCTGCAGGAAACCCATCTCCAGCCTTTGCAGGGGGTCAGAGCACAGAAGCAGCTCCTTCCCATTGTGTCAGTCTCCCTGGATCATGTCCTAATTTTGGGGAGCTATGACAGTCTCAGAGCCCCCCTGCCAACAGAGGCAGCAATCCTGGGAGTGAACTGGGGAGGTGAAACCACCCCAGCACACAGAGGGATGGTGGTGGGGATTTCTCCCATCCCACAGGGAAGAAAGAGGCAACCAGGGTGTGCCAGGGCATCTAAGGTGACCTCACAGTCCTTGGAAAGTCAAAGTTCCCAACTCTCTCCAGGCATGGGTGAGCCACCTGCCCACAGAGCTGCTCTTTAATCAGCAATTACCAGGAGCTGATTGCAAAGTCATGGCATGGCCATCAGGAAATCTGGAAGGAAAACAATTCACACACAGCACATCTTCAGCAGTGCCCTCCTGGCACACCATGGATACACTCCCAGAAAAAACTCCCAGCTCTACACACAAACCCTTCTCCCAGCTGTGCCCCCCAGGAATCACTGGAATGGTTTGGGTTGGAAAGTACCTTAAAGATCATCTCATTCCAACCCCCTGCCATGGGCAGGGACCCAGGAAGGGATGGACAGACGGATGGATGGGGTCCACAGGGAACCAAGTGTCTGCATCTACCCCTGGAGAAACCAGGGGCCAGGAAAAAGCCAAAGGACTCTTTTTCTTGAGCACAAAGACGGGTGGAAAGAAATAGGTGACATGAGGGCATAAATATAAACAGAAAGGAGAGAAACAGTGACATTAAGGGAGAAGAACTGCTAAGCCATGTCAGATGAGGGTCTGTCACGGGCCTCGACTCCCCACATTCCAGATCCCATGGGTCTGCATCCTCCTGGATGCCCTGGAAGGTGCTGAAGAAGGAACAAGCTGACCAGCAGTGGGGTGACACCAAGCCACGAGAGCCTGCAGGGCTCCAGTTCAGAGAAGGGACCTGGCAAAGGGAGCAGCTGCTCTGGGTGGAATACGATGCAACCCCACGAAAATGCACAAAGTTGTGCATGTCTGCAGGGACAAGAAACGGCACAATCCGAGTGCAGGGAACGGGCACTCCCTTTTTTTTTTCTTGGGAAAAGCTGGGGATACAATGGATCATACCCAGCCATAGGAATTCTGTCTGTAGGCAAACAAGCCTCTGCTCTGCTCTGGAGTCCAGTTCTGGCCAACATATCTTTAATAAAATATGGAGTTGTTGGACAAAAGCCCGGCGGAGAGAAGAAAGGACAACCCCACGTTTAGAAAACATCATCTGTGAAGAAACTGGAATAGTTCAGCCTGAACAAAACACAGCAGAGGGAGGAAGACGTGGCAGGTACAGACACCAGAGGCTGTGGACATCTGTGGTGTGTGTCCTTGGACAGTGGGACAAAAGTCATTTGGCTGACTCAGCAATGGGGGAATTGGGTTTGGATGTCTGGGAAGGGATGGCCCGAGGAAGGGCAGCCATATCCCAGCTGCCTGCAGTGGGATGTCTTAATATGTGGAGCTGATTTAGTGGATTATTGCTTCTGGACAGCCTTTGGCTTTTGCAGACTTGGCCACATGGATTGATTCCATGGCACTGGGAAGTTTCTATTCATGCAGGTCCTGGAGCTGCAGCTGTGGATCACAGGGAGCCCAGCTCCCCATGGTCTCCTCTCCAGCTCCATCAGCAGAAACCTGGAGAAATGAAGTGTTAAACAGCCCCCTCTGCACCACGTGCTCCCAAAAAGGGTTTCCCAGGTCGGACAGGACCCGACCTGCCTCCATCGCATTCCTTGGAACCACGAGGGGGTTTTCATGCATTTACTTCATGCACATCCAAGCCATCCAGAGCCAAGCCAAGTGCAGCCCCACATCACACAGAGTTACACACATCTCAATTTGTCTGCAATTAGACTAAAATCAGACCTTGTGACTATTAAAAAATATGATTATTTCCTTATTCTGACACACCATTGGCCTTTACACAATTGAGCTGCTTTGCATTAACGCAAATTGGAGTTGTTTAAATCAGTCTGAGAGCTGCAGGGTCGTTTTCTCTGTTCCCAGGAACTCACAGTCTGTATGTTTGCCCAGTTTTTATCTATTTATTCCTCCTCAGCCTGAAGTTTGCTCTCCATCTACGACTGCAGCAATAGGGATTCATTTCTGCCTTGTTTACCAACAGAATCACATATATTTACTGCCAAGATCTCTGTGAAATGCAGGTACAATGGGACAACCAACTGAAACTGGTTTAGAACTGAAACACACAGGTTAAATTCACTGCAAATCAGTATCCCAAGCCAGAACTTCCCCAAATACTTGGTGGGTACCAAACACTGCAATGGCAAATCACACGTGGCTCGCTAAGCTTACTCTAAGCTTTTTTTTCACCGTAATAAAACAGAAAAAAGAGAGAGAAAAAAAAAAGAGCACCACTCGCAGCCAAAAGCCACAGGCTATGGAAAAATTCCAGCTTTTTGGAACCCAGCTCGCAGGGTTTTGGGGCAAAACCAGCCCACTGGCACCCAAGTGCAAGATGTCAGATCGGGACCAGCTGCTGCTTGAAAGAAAACCTAACTTGTTCCCCTGGATCTAAAATTCCTGAGCCGGGAAGAAAGGCCGGAAGGCCCCGTGTGGTTACGAGGATTCTCTCCCAAAACCGCCGTGGGAGCCCAGCAGTGCCGGGAAAGCGGCTCTTCCCTCCTGCCTCTGGGTGCCGGGGGGGTCGGGGTCTGGTTTTGCACTCACCTTTCATCCCACTCCCTTCCTCCTGGAATGTGTTACGAGCGGAAGGCTGATCTTCTAAATGTTCACTCCCACCACTTCCCGAAGAGGCTACACTGCTTTGTGGAGACAGGGGGGCATGATCGGAAGGGATGCACTGGGGTCCTCTAGCCCGTAAGTCCTCATGAGACATCCATCCATGTCCTAGAGGCTGGTTTGGCACATTCATGGGTGGGGTAAGGGACACAGAGCGTTTCAAAGGGCTGTGGTGTGTCTGGCCTGAGAGAACTGAAAAAAAAATAAAATCAAAGAGGTTATTCCCCCCTCGCGGCCCGGGATGCAGCAGAGTCCCCCGACAAAAAAAAAAAAGGAAAAAAAATAATCAAATGAAATTATAAAATGTGTGGTGGTGGGTGGGTGGCCATGGTGCCTCGCCGATGGCTTCGCAGCCCTACCCAATCCCTACCCTGAGCTTTGCCTCCCGGGAAGCAAAAGGGATGGGAACACCTGAAAGGAGATGGGGTTGCACGAGCCATGTGGGAGCTGCTTAATGGAAGGTGCTGCGTGGGTTGCAGCTCTAGGGAAAAAAATCAACTGAGCAGCTCTGCAGCATAAAAACCCCCAGGTTGGGGGATTCAGGGGAAGCATCTCTGTCTCTCCCTTTGGATTAGGACTTGGCTTGTGCCCTGGAACACGAGCGTTTACAGATCTGCCAAAGTCATTGTGGGGGTACTTCTCATCCACAGGAATGTCTAAGCCTTGTTGAGTCCTACTAAAATCACAGAATCATGGAATGGTTTGGGTTGGAAGGGATCTTAAAGGCCATCTCATTCCAACCCCTGCCATGGGCAGGGACATCTTCCACTAGACCAGGTTGCTCCAAGCCCTGTCCAACCTGGCCTTGGACACTTCCAAGGATGGAGCAGCCACAGCTTCTCTGGGCAACCTGTGCCAGGGCCTCCCCACCCTCATAGCCAAGAATTTCTTCCCAATATTCCATCTCACCCTGTCCTCTGGCAGTGGGAAGCCATTCCCCCTTGTCCTGTCCCTCCAGGCCCTTGTACAAAGTCCTTCTCTCCAGCTCTCCTGGAGCCCCTTTAGGCACTGGAAGAGGCTCCAAGGTCTCCCTGAAGCCAGGGAGCCTTCCCTTCTCCAGGCTGAGGAATGTGGCACTTGGCTGAGCTCCCATCAGCAGTGGGAACATCCCAGCTCAGCCCCCCTTCAGGTGCTCTTCCAACCATGTGCCTTTTCACTCTCCACAAGACCAAGCATTCAAAACAATGGTGAAAATACACCCCTGACAATGAGGTGAGGCTGAATAACCCCCTTCAGAAAATAATCTTTGGATTTGTTTTTCCTTCCCAGGAAATATGGGTTTGCATTTCCTGGCTGGAAGTTTGATGCTACCAAGTACAATTTATTTTTAACAAATAACTTCTACACTGACAGGACAAGAGAGATGGAGCAACTCCTGTGATTTGGAGTCATTTCTTGAGAAAGGCTTTACAATGGGTAGGTCTTTACTTGCCTTTCATTCAAGCACAGAAATATGTCTTAAGTAGGCTAAAGTATTAAGTAAACCCCAAATCATAGATTTCCTGACACTTTTTGGTGTCAACCAACTTGAATAGACTTTTAAGTACAATTTTTACTGAAAGGTCTCCATTTTCCCACTGCTCTTCTTCCATCCTGTCACGTTCATTTTTTGTTCTCTCCTTAAAATTTCAGTATCTTTTTCTTGGGTCTGTTGGGTATTAGGGGTAAGACATTGTATTTAGAGGAAAAGATCATAAAATGGTTTGGATTGGAAGGGACCTTAAGGACCATGTTAAAGGCCAAGGGCAGGGACACCTTCCACTAGACCAGGTTTCTCCAAGCCTCATCCAACCTGCCCTTGGAACACTCCAGGGGCTATCTCTGTTTCCAGTAATGAAAAATGTATGCAGAGACTGCTCTGTTTGCTTAACAAAATTCAAATTCCATCATTTGCAGTCACTACACTGCTGGTTAAACCATAAATGCTGCTAGTATAATGTAATGTATGGATTTAGGACGGAAACTACGGGAAGTTTCCCTGCTCCAGGGAAATCTGAGGGCAGAGGGGTTCAAATGACCTTTCAGCCCATACGAAACAGAAGCAAAAACTTTTTTTCAGTTCTTCTTTCCAAATCAAATTTTTAAACTGTACAAAACCTGGGGGAAATCCATTGTTCTCGTGGCTTTTCCTCCTAAAGCATTAAAGCCCTAAAGCTCCTTAATCCCCCTTTTTTTGCATTTACAGGAGTTCACCAAAACCACTCAGGCTCCTCTGCATGTTGTTATTTAATATAAACGAGTCTTGGTGGAAAACCCCCAGCCAGGTGCACTGTGCTGTAAAAGTTAAGCCAGGCTTAATTCCCAGCTCAAGCCTGGAGGGGAAAACTCACCATCAAAGCCATCCCTGCTGACCAGGAGCGGGATGGAAATGAGGGACTAGTGGGGTTATAAAAGGAGAGGAGAGAGAAACACCGGAGCACGTTTGCTTTTATTAAGCACCTCTAAAAAGCAGCTGGTGCCAAAGGCAGCTGATGGATGAGGCCAAAACCCTGCGGATTTCTGCAATATCCAAATAATTCCTATTTCTGAAAGGGTTTTCTTGTAGCAGCACAGAACACTGAGTCTGAGGGAAGCACGGGGATGGCTTGTGGGGAAGAATTTGTTCCCTTCCCATTAAATAACTACAGAAACATCTTCCACAAATCTCCTGGCAGAAAAGGAGATCCTGAGATTGCTTTCAGAACAGTGTTATGCTTCCCAAAGTTGTGATGTGATGCATCCTGATGGGGGAATAGCTGGATTTAAGAAGGTCCTGGTCAAGCTATTTTAGCTCTTGGCTTTGCAATTGTAACCCTAAAAGCAGCACCATAAGAGGGCTCTGTAGATGTCACATCACCCTCCCAGGAGAAGAATACATCTAGCATTAAACAAAAATAAAATACAGCGGAATTATAGGGAAAAAAATGGGTCAGTTGGTTGAAATGCATCACCAGGGCTGAGTATCACACCTGCACCACTCAGAGCCCCAGAGCAGTGCTTACACCACCCTCTCCCCCCCAAAATCCTGCAAACAAGGGGATATTTTTGTCTTAAATCCAGCCCAGATTCCTTCCCGAGCAGCAATACCCTTGCAGACTGCTGCTCTTCCCTCTTAATTTTATGTCTCCTAATTAGAAACCAGTGTTGGCTGGAAGAGAAATAACAAACTCCACAGGATGGACAGGGACAATTACAAACCATCCAGCACAACGGGTAAAAATCAGTTCCACTTCTGTCCCTGCATCCAACAGAACATGTTCTACTAAGCCAAATTTTGAGTCAATCCACACAACTTCCCGAGATGCAGCAGGGATAATCCCTCTGCAAAGGATGCTGCAAGTCACCAGCTCTTTGAAACCACTCCAGCTACTCTGGGTACCAGATAAGGTATTATTTAAGAGCTCTTAGCACTGGCCTAACTTTAGGCTCCACTTCCCTGTAACCTGTTTCCATCAGCACTCGTCCTTAAAAACACTGCAAATCCCGGGGTGGCAGCTGCCAGGTGTGCACACCCTTCTCCCTCTTTTAATTTGCAACCCTCGGAAGGAGGATTAATAAATGCCCAATTTTATTAATGCTGCTGCTTGTGGTCACGGCTTCAGTTTCTTGAAATGGAGGATATAGCCAATTATTTTCAAAGTATCAGTTTAGTGTAGGTCCTGACCTGCTTTTGACCCTCCTGATTGCTTTCTGGATGGTCCAAGGTGAACCCAGGGCTGCTCCTGCTAAAATAAATGCTCCCTGCGGGATTTAACTTCAGCAGAGGCAAACCACGTGTGACTTTATCGCCTCGCACTCCAGCCTCCTCTCTTTTATTGCAAAAATATTAAGCTTTAATTCAAAAAGGAAATGTAATATATTCTTCTGGGGCAAGATAAGCTCCCAGGAGGTGGTTGGACACGCCTGCCTTTCTGAGTGCTGCGGGCTGGGCGAACAAAGAGCGGAAAGCACCGCTCCGGAGGGCAATCCACGCTGGCACACGGATACCCTACGGCTGGTAAGTGTGTCCCACTTCTGGTTTAGAAGTGCTTTCCTGCTGTTTAGGTGGTGCAAGAGCTCTGCAAGGTCCAGCTGCTTCCAAACAGGTATCCAGTGGGACAGGAGCCAGAGCAGATCCTGGTCCTCCCTGGTATAAGCACGTTGGTGTTGCCTCTTTGCTCAGCCTGCACCAGACTGTGTTTCCTTGCAAGAAACCTCTCTGTGACCTCCAGAGTGGGATCAAGCTCAGCTTAATATTCCCAGGTAAAAGAAAATCAAGAGGATGGAGAAGGAGGGATGGCAACAACGCATCAGCCCCCCATGGCAGGCGGTGGCTGCAGAGCATGGAGCAGCTGGGAGCATCCCTGTGGGATGTCCACCACCTCCCCAGGCAAATCCAGCTTTATCCCAGACCAAACCCTGGCTGTGCTGGCAGGCACAACAACACACTTACAGAAACTCTGAGGTTGCAAGTGCTCTCACCCTGTGAAGCCTTGAGTTTGGGATTTTCCCCCCCCCCTCTTCCCTTTTGAAGTGGTGTTGCCTATTTTGGGAGGCAAGGGCTGATTTCAAGAGGGTTTTTGTTCGCTCAAGACCATGTGGAACAGCGTCAGACATTTGTGTTGTGGTTTCTCAGGATTTCTGAGCCAATTTTTTTCAGCCTGAGAAGGGAAAAGCCACCCGTTCCTGTAATTAGAGCTGAGGAATCGGGCTCTGCAGGCACAGACCTTCCTCCACACAGCGTGGGACGGCGATGAGGTGCTCGCTCCCCCTCTGCCCAACGTACCCTTCATTAAATCTGGCCTAAAGTGCTGCAAAAGTCCTTGACAAGGCACATGTGGGGCTGATGTGAGTGTTTCCAGCAGAGCCAGACCCACTGCTGGGTACAGAGGAGTGTTCAAACCATCTCTGGTCCCCATCAGGTCCCTGACAGCCGGAGGATCAGCCCACAGTCCATACAGCAGGTTACAATTCCAAGTAACATCATTCCCGCGCCGAAGAAAGGAAAAACTGCTGCAAGGTGCCCTGCTGAACTCTTTGGGAGGTTTTTTTTGTTTGTTTTCAGTCTAAAAATGGTACTTTTTGGCCGCAAAGCTGCTCATGGTGCCTCCTCAGGTGGTGTCTGCTCATGTACAACTCCTTTCCTGGCCTGCAGGTACCTGGAGCAGCAGCCTGACCCCAATCTGCTGTAGGAAGCGGGGATGTTTTTAATCCACTGAGGGCACACA